CTGAAAAAGACCATTTTGTGGCTTTCATGTGAAATTGCAAATGTGATCCGTAGTGTTGCATTTATGTAACATTTTAAGGATTGAAATTTCTCTAGAAGAAAAGATAGAATATCTAGACTTCTCTACTCATAAACTACCACCTACCCACAGACATTACTAACTCACAGATTGAATCTTGACATTTTAGGAAGAAGTTGTCTAAATGTAATATTAAATGCAAAATGTTGCTCTGTTATTAAAATATCTTCAGATAATGAAGAAACTTGAAAGTTATTCAATTTGCTTAAGCAAAAGAAAGCAATAAACACTTGTGATAATTGGCTAAGAGTTAGATCCCTTTAGTTAATCTTATTATCATCTGCTTCAGAGTTCCCAGAAAGTCTGTTATGTTAAGGAAGATGCTTTAAGATTTTTTAAAACCCCAAAACTTAGTTTTCTAAACTCAGTTGCAACTAATGCAGGCTAGAAGATGTGAGAGAAAATTGATAGCAGGAAGTACTTTGGTAACCCAGATGCCTTGTTCTGTGACCAGTCTGCTAACTTGCTGTTGTGCCAAGAGTTGTGAACATTCTGGGAGTACATGAACTCAACCCTTACTAGTCCAGGATAAGCCTTGTGCTAGACCCATAAAATGACCCTGAAACACCTCCCCAGGGGATCACATTTTGGTCTGTACTGCCAAATCATAGTGCTAATACCCCAAACTGTCAGATGCCTTTTGGTCATCACAGATTGCCCGGGCCTCTTTGGGTGACAAAGATAATGGTTTGAATTGTTTTGTGCTTAGAAATATTTATTTTCTCAGCCTCAGTCCCACTATACTCTTTCGCTTACTTCTTCCTATCCCCTGCTTTTTCCTTCTTCCTGTCCTCCCTTCCGCCCTTTCTGTCTCTGTCTTCTCTCTCCTCCTCCCTCCCATCCACCTGTAGAAGCTGGTGTCCTTAAGATAGTTCCTCACCCTGCTCTTTGTCCTAGCTCTGCTGTACCTGCTGGTTGGAAAGAATGGTTACAAATTGGAGCAAAGTCTATAATGGTTATGGGGACGTATGAACCCTTTTCTCAGGCACTTTTAGAAAGTTGACAATGGAAAATCTGCCTCTGTAGTTTTTGTGTTTTTATGTAGTACTGGGAATTGAACCCAACTGAGCTTGTATCCTCAGCCCATCCATCAGATGAGATCTCACTAAGTTATCCAGGCTCACTCAAACTTGAAATTTTCCTGTCTCAGCCTTCCAGAGTGCTGAGATTATAGCCATGTGCCTTTAGGTCCAGCCTACCTATTAACTGTGGTTTTTTTGTGGTTGTTGTGTTTTGTTTTGCACTCACTTTGACTCTTAACATCAGAAAGTGTTTTATTTGGTATAACCATAAAGGCGCCACATTATACTTTTTTGATAGTGGACAGAAACCTAAAAAGGTTTGCCGTGAATTGCCTATAATTGTAATACAGTTGTAGTCATGTTGACAGAGTTGATTTGAAATTAATTGTATAAGGCTAGATAACATATAACTGCTCCTTTTATTTGAGGGTATAAGAATTTGGGATGATAGCACAGTTGGTGTAGGGTATATGCATGATGTTCAGATGCTTTTGTTCTAGATTTTAAAGTGTTTCATAGGTTATGATCTGCCAGGCCAAACTTAATTCCAAGCTCTCCATTCAGAGTACAATAACCCTTTTGTCGAACCTGGGATATGTTATCACTGCCAGTTACTCATGTTGTCAGTTTATCTTGGCTCAACTGTGGTTCTATTTGTACTTTACTGTCCTGTGGTGAATACATTGGATTGGGTTGTTAGTTTAACAAGCTCTCTGGAGAACACTTGCATGGTGATACATGTTCAGATATGCTCGGTATCCGTAAAGTTATTGTGTGTTTGCCAAAACATGAAATTCATTCACTAGAAATTTTTTAAAGGATAAAATTCTCAAGCAAGAGATGAAGTAAATATTCTATTATTCAGTAATTATCTAGGACGTTTATAAGTATGAGATATTAATTCATGAGTCTCAGCCACATTTCTTTGGGGGTTTTGATTTTACAATTTGGTTTCTTCCTTACAATTTTACTAGATAGATTATTCTGTTTTTTTTTTTTTTTTTTTTTAAGTATTTTGGCATTTATACTATCTCTGACTTGTGCTCTGTGTAGATCACTTTTGTGTTCTGGACAAGAACTCAGTGATCCTAGCCAGATCCTGAGCTAGAATTTACAGAAAATGTTAGCAGATAGTGGGGGCTAGCAGGGCCGTTGATATCCACAGTGTGCAACTGGTTGAGAAATGTGTTATGATAGTCTACTCTACCTTCTCTTAACTGATTGCATCAAAATTTCCAGATCCACACCCTGGGTATCTGTATTTTAAGTGATTCCCAGTACTTTTGAGTTTTTAGGAAATATTTTAATAGTTTTTATGCCATGGCCATTTTGTACCTGCCTATGTGTGTGTGCACATCTCTGTGAGTGTTCATTCTAGCACTGATTGAGCATTTCTAAACCAAAGCACCAAGATGTGGCAAAAATCAAAAACTTCTGAGCTTTGTGGTGATTCCGCAAGTGTAAAATTGTGTACCTGTTCTCATGTGATGAATCACAGTTGGAACAGAACACAGGCACACTAAAAATGCCGAGTAAAATTATCTTTAAGCTATGTATATATAAAGTATAAATGAGTTTTATGTTTTAGTCCTAGGTTCTATCTCCATGGTACCTTACTATGAATATGTAAATATTTCAAAATCCAGCTCTGAAGTCTGAAACAGTTCTGGTCCCAGGATTCTTGAAAAGAGGATACCCAAAATGTATTTCATCCTCTTTATGTTATGCCTCTATTAAAAAGCTCTTTTAAAATTAGTAGCTCACTTTCCTAGTTAAATCAAATAGCTTGCAGTGGCCACTTAGTTAACATTGTTAAGGATCTACTAACCACATAGGTGGGACCCAGGAGCTGTTAAAATTGTGCAAGTCTTGATTCTTAGAAATGCAAAATCTGGTGGAAAAGAAAAATGATTCTGCGTAAAATAAAACATAACAGTTTATGAAACCATTTTGTATGCGTGATCTGTGAACCCGCTGGCATATTGGTAATGTTATTATTCCCTTTCATTTTTGAAGAAACTGAAGTTCACTTATCCTGGGTTATTCAGCAAGTCTTGGAGCTTAAGTACATCTGTGCGCGCGCGCGCGCGTGTGTGTGTGTGTGTGTGTGTGGTGTGGAGGAGTCTTTCTTTGCCATTCAGGCTGGCTTCGAACTCACTGTGTAGTCTAGACTGGCCTAATCTTCCTGCCTCAGCCTCCCACGTGCCAGGATTACAGGCGTGTGCTTTCACACCACCCCTGGCTAAACTGCATCTTCTGTGAAAGCCTGTGAAGTCCTGGAAATAAGAATGCTTTGTTTAACAAAATCCAAAACCTTTCATGAGGAACAAATATGTCAGTTAGCAGTGCAGGGCTTGCCTAGCTAACAGGAGGCCTAGGTTCAACCTCCACTACCAACCAAAAAACGACATGGAAGCAGAAGATACATACAGCTTTTTATGGAGTTATAAAAGCCTGTGCTTAGGGGACAGCTAAGCGTGTGGGTTCTGTGTTTGTGACTCATTATCTCTGCATGTTGTCTATTTTCATGTCACAATTGCCTGTTTGAACCTCTGGACTTTTAGTATATTGAACTTTCCCTGGTGAATGTGACTTATAGAAAACTTTCTATTGAAATACTTCTCTGGTCTTTCTAAACTTCCAGTTCTTGCCTCATTTTCAAATTCTTGCACTTCCAGGTAGTATCAGCCAATGAACAGCCTTCTCCATTACATGCGGTGTTTATTACCTGCTCTGTGTTCTGCAGCTCTTGATCATTTTCCATCTAGCCATTTATTGCTGTCATATGTTGCTTTTTGTTTATATGTGTATAAATGTTGTGTTCCCAGTAAGATTATAAGTGGAATCAAGGTGGTAAATAGTAGGTATTTGCTGAGTAGTCTTTGAAGCTAACGGCATGCTTACCTGGGTTGTCCTCCCTTAAAAAATGCTGCCATCTGTGTCTTCTTATACCCCCCATGGGTTGCTCCCATTCTAACCTTGATACAGGAAAGAGAGGACTGCTGGTAAACTTGTCACATGGGATCTGTAGAGCAGATCTCACAGCTCTCACTTTTCCTCCTTTCCAGTAACATTAGTGATATAAAGTCTTCTCATTGATGAGGTACAGCCACCCCAAGTAACTACATTTTCTGTTAGTCACAGTTACCTAAGAAACCTTTTCCAAATAGATATGTAGCATTTGCATGCATGTTCTGGTCCTTTGTGATCATCAGCATTGCCTTTCCCAGGTCAAGCCAGACATCACTGGCCTTCAAATTTATATAACAACTTCCTCATTTAGATGGTAGGGTGTGGTTGGTGAGGATGTTGGAGTGTGTACTGATAGCAACTTCAAAACATTTCGATGGTCTTGATCCTGTAGAATGTTTAAGCCCTTATCCACTGACTACTCATATCCATGGGTACTCTAGAATTATGCCTGTGCATGTGAGATCTTTGGGCCAAGATTCCACAAAGGGTGTCTTCATGTCATATTTTTTGTAATCAACCTAGATAGTCTTCCTTTGTGTACAGTGTGAAATACTATCACTTTGTGAAAGAGGGAACACACTATCTATCACTTTGTGAAAGAACTCATCTCCCTGGGCTTGTGGATAACAACTGCTCACCTGGATCTGAATTCTAATTAAATTTCTTGTCTTTTCACTCCTTAACATTGTGTGATACCTTTTATGAAAAGTATGCTTTAGTGTAAAAAATATTACGTATCTCTGTAGACTATGAATGGCTGAACCAAAATTAGATCTGTAGAAGAAACCCACCATCACCATCTTTTCTGCTGTTCTTCCTTATGCGTATTTGCAGGTTGGTCATTTTCCTGGGTTTCTCTTTGGTCAGGGTAGCTGCTGTGGGCATATGGAGGATATGTGACTGATGTGCCTGCCTTTCTGTTTCTAGGTGGGCCATGCACAGACACAGCTCATGTCTCGTTAGTCACACCAGCCAAAAGGTCCTGTGGTACAGGTATGTATGTGAATTCATCTTCCTGACTTGTTCCCAAAAGTTAGCCATTGGTTTTAAATTGTTGTGTGTAGGGTATTCTCTTGGTTTCTTTCATCACTTACAAAATATTTTGTCTGTGGTACTAGGAATGGAATGTGAGGAAAGGTTGATATAATGTTCTTTAGGGTCAGTTGACAGTTTAAGAAAGTGAGCATCAAAATGAACCCACTTCCCTAGTACCCAGAGCTATTATTCAGACATGAAAGGTACATAAACGCAGGTGTTTGTTCAGTTTGTAATGTGTGGCTAATTTGTCTTACATCTTGAACCTCCTTAAAAAAAAATGAGTTCATGACCTTATAACATCAAGGAATGAAGAATGTGAATCAGTGGAATAGGGAAGTTTTATTGGAATTAAGATGAATAGCTCATGGATTTCCAGAAGGGTCTCATGTGGGTGGCCACCAATGCCTTTGTCAGAGCTGTTTATACAGCAAAATTACAAGGGGAGTGTGATGTGGTTGGAACTCTAATCATCCTATAGGGTTACAAGTATAGCTACTTAGCTAATAATGATCCAGTAGGAAAATGAATCACATAGCAAGGGCACACAAAAAGATTAAGTAAATTCATGGAAAGGTAAAGGGAGCATGGGTCCAGATAGTCTAGTCCACCATTTGTGCATTTGATGCCCATGTGCACCCACTGAACCAGGTGGTGGTAACTGCAGCCCGATTCCAAGTTGCTTTTATCTCTAGGGAGGCCTGAAGGCCTTGCTGTTGCTTCTCTGTGCTGAGGCCTGGTTCTCTTCAGACTTGCCTGCAGCCACAATTCTGATTCTTTTGTGCTGACTTCCTTGAGGGCCCAGTCCTTCTCTGCCTATATATGTATCTATTTCTATCTAATTTCTCTGCCTGTAATAGTTTGATGTTAAACACTTTAAGCAGACTTAACTATCCTACACTTACAGGGTAACATACAGACATTGACTGTTAAAGAGCTTTTAATTTTACTTTTCTCTCCCAGTGATGCTTTAATGTAGGAGAGTATGCAGAAGACCAGGCATGCTCTCATAGCTCCTGTCCCCTGCAAGCACCAGACGCATGTCTGTAGAGGTGGGAAAGAGAGACTTGTGCTCTGGGGAAAGACAGATGGTCCTGATTGGCCAATGGGAGGTTAGAGAGCCAGCTGCCTTCCTCCTCTAGCCACAAGCTTGAAACTTGGAGAGCCTTTTGATGTCAGGTCCAGTACTCAATAGACACAGGGTATACATTCCTTTTCTTTGCTTCCAGGCTTGGCCCTCAGAACAGGATTTTTACTTTTATCATGTTTAGGCAATAGTCAAGGAGTGAACCATTATCTCAAGAAGTTTGGGCAAGAGAGCTGTGGATGTATTGAGTTCAGATGCTGAACTTCAAATGGGCTTGCCCTGAATATCATGTGCTTGGTTCTATCTTCTAGGTAGATCTTTTCCCCTCTCTGTGCTTCCATACTGCCAGGTACCACACAGTGTACTTACATGCGTGTTCATTTTATCTTCAGAACAGTTCTGCAAGACACTTACCATTCTTTTTTTACAGATGCAAAGAACAGGCACTCAAAGTTAAGTTTATTTTCTGAGGGAATACTACTAATAAGTAATGGAGCCAGGATTTGTGCATAAATCTTTAAAATCCTAAAGCTTGGGTTGTTTTCTGCTATCTGTCATTAGTGCTTTTCACATTTTGTGATTTTTTCTGTAATAGAGAGTAGCAAAACATAACAGTGAGGTTTGGAGAAAACAAAGCACATATTTGGAAACACAGCATATAGTTAAATACTTTTTTTTTTTTTTTTTTAGTACTGGGGATCAAACTCATGACCTCACACTTGCCAGGCAGGCATGTGAACCACTGAACTAAATCCCCAGCCTAGTTAGTACTTTTAAAATGCAAGTTCTAAAATTAAATCCATTTTCAGAGCTCAGCTTCAGCCACTAATAAATTGTGATTCTTTTAAAGTGAGTTGACATTTCAACATTTTTTTTCTTCATCTGCAAAGAACATAAAGAGTGATAGAGTTGATAAGGAAGGAAATTATATATAAAGCTCACAAAGCCATTTTTTTAGAGGAAGGAGGAGTGAAATATACTAGGACTCATAGGCATACCCAGTTTCATTAGTTGAATTTATAGTGACCACATTTTTTCTTGCACATCAGTGTCATGGTAGGAACTAAGTTGTATCTTCAAGGGTACATTGAAATGATAAGAGTCATTGAGCTCTTGGTCATGAATTTCCAGACCTTCATTAGATGAATGCATAATCTTACCTAGAAAAAGATTGAGAATTTTTGATTTGGAAGGAAATTAATACAGTGTCAAGTAATCTCTTTAGGAGCCTGAGTGAAGGTTGAGATTTGTCAGCATGGACACCAAAGGTTAACAAGTTTACCCTGCTGTGCTTCTTTGTAAGAAGCCTGTTTTGTTCCTCAGAAGCTGCTAGGGCTGAACAGCCACTGTAGCCTTAAACATTGGTCCTGACCCTCAAGGATAGAACTTCCTGATTTGCTTTGAGACCACAGATGGTCTTCATCTCATTCTCTGTGTCTTTCAGTCAGCAGGGCTGCCCATAGTGGGAGTTCTGGTTATTTTTCTTCTAAGTGTATCCTGTGTTCTCTGGTGCTTCTCCAGGTATAGAGGGTCAGTGAGTAACTACCTTATAGTAACATCGTTACTTAAGAGCCATAGCAGGAGATGAAGATGAGATGTTACTGACCTCCTCCCAGCCATCCATCCATTCAGGTTTAGACTATGTGAAGCAGCATTGAACTTGGTAGTGGTGTGTTAGAGAAAGGACACTGAGGCTAGCATAAAGTGATTCTTTAGGTCAGCAGCTCTGGATAACGACAGGTGTATGTTTTTTGAGGTACAAGGTACACTGGTGAGAGTTCTTTATCTCAACCTTATAAAATTACTATTTTGCAAGTTCTTTTTACATCCATACATAGTTTATAAACAGCAAATAAACATATATACAAGTATATATATATATATATATATATACATATAAAAGAATCATATGACTTTTAGATAGGCATGTACATCAGCAAAAGATTAATGACCTCTGCTCTAGGCAACAGCTCATTGTTTTAATAATACTTAAGGTTAAATCCAGAGATTAGCATTAGACTCATTAGAGTGTGACTTAGTAAGTAAAGGCCTAAGTAGTTAATTAACAGATCTTCATTTCTGTTTCAAGTGACTGTGTCAATCAGGTAAAAGATAATTTAGGGAAGTGGACCACAGTGTGGCGTGGTTTAGTTTCCAACCTTCAAAATGCGAGAAGTCTTTTTAAAGATCTATAACTCTTAAGAAGGAGGTTACAAAAAAGTGACTGTAGTGCAGATGAAAGAAAGGTCAGTTTGTATTTGTGAGCTAGATGGGAAAGTTTCTATGCTGGCATTCAGCCATACAGAACTATTAACAGTTAAAGTCATTTTAATTTTTAGATTCATAAAAATAAGCGGCACCATGATCAGCTTGATGTCTAAGCAGATAAAAATTGAGTGAAGGGATGTGTGGTTGTTGCCAGTCCACCCCACCCCGGTCCCTTTGTAGAGCACAGATACGTCTACTTCAGCAGAGCTGACAGAAAAATGCTTTTAGTTAGAAGGTGAGAGTTAACAGTATATCACATCTCCACATTCCTTGAGAGAATTTGCATTTCTTCAGAGAACTCAGAAATGTTCCTTTGTTAGTTCTTAAAACATTTCCGCCAAGAATGAGTTTGCTGTCTTTGGGCAACAAACCACCAGAGGATTCCCTTTTGTCCTTCATCTTTCCTAGTCCTCACATTATGCAGTGCTCAAGAACATTGCAATGCAAGCTGTGATCAACTCCTTAGATAATTTTATTTGGAAAGTATGGATGGTTGGTTAGGTGGATATTTTTGTGGCTAAAAGCACCTTATAAAAAAGTTGTCTGTGGCTTTTCATTAGCTTTTCTTATTTAAAGTATTATTTTTAGAATTACAGCCAAAAAATGCTACTTTGTCTTTTCTTTTATTGGGATTTGGTACTTGTAAATCTGAAATTTTACACTGTAATGGACAGGTGGAACTGTTACCTGGTTTGTTTGTTTGATTGACTTTGTGGTGCGGCCTTTGATGTGGTAGGCAAGTGTGTACCACCGAACTGCATCCTCAGCCCATGTTTGGTTTAAATGTTCTTGTAGAAGTAACCTCTCTCCTGCAGGGTCCTTGAACAACGAAGAGCCCAAGGACTCTATTTCTTAGGGCATCTCCTTTGGTGGGGTGGGGATAGGGCAGTAACATCAAGTAGGGTGTCTGTCTACTAGCTCTTAGCAATGGGTTCAATATGTATTGAGGGGCAGACATTTTAGCATATAAAGAAAGAAAATTACCTCCTTTGTAGTGACTACTCATGAGGACTTGAGTTTTTGTTGTTTTGTTTTGGTCCTGTTATTTCTGAAGGTAGAAAAATTTATAGACGCATTTGATTTGACAATATTATCAGCAGACTTGGCTCCATTGTATCTGGATTGTTTTACTCTTCTTCCAGCAGATATATGGGGTAGGTAATATTCTTTCTGATAAATGTGAAAAATGTCGACTTAAAAAATCTTGTGTATGTTAAAAATTGATTAAATTAGTAGAGTAGCAAGTAAAATAACTATTTGGGGGCCATAGGGGAGCTAAATTATTGCTCGAGATTAAAGCAGATGGGTCTAGAAACTGTTAAAAACATCACACGGTTTTCCAGAAAGTGTCATCTTTCTAGTTCAGCGTTATTCTCACCAGCTAAATTCTTTTCTTCCTTCACTTCTTCTTCTTTCCTGCACAGATTTTTCCTTCTGGGTCACCTATTTTCCTTTCAGCTTAGTAAACAGTGCCATGACCTAGTGTAGACCTGTGTTGTTCTTTGTTTTTTGCTTTTCCCCCAAACCCTTTCTTGATTGACTTTTTTGTGCTGTGTTCTTATGCTATTATTGTCTGTTCTAACAAAGACAGGAGAAACCCCCT